CAGTTCAATTTCGAGATATCATTCCGAAGCGTCTAGTTCATTATATTTCCAATTTGCATGGGATGTGATTTTCCTAAAATTAGTGGTCCCGTTTTAGATTAAAGTGTTGGACGGCTGAGATTTAATTATATATATATATGTAATTGTATTGATTTTTTTAAAATACGGTATTATAATATGATAATTATGTCTTATTTTGTAAAGTAGACCCATTCATACGCATTAATTGCAATATTAACCCTTGACGAAGTCACCCAAGAATGTAAACGTTAAGGAAGTCTCACTAGTCCTACTTATCGAACTCAAAAGTTTAATTATCATTTTGTCCGCGACCGCGAGTACATGCTATCTGAAAATAGTTAATGTTTTTAGGTATCAATATCCTAAATTATATTTTTAGTTTTTTTAAAAATTTATTTTAATCTTTTATTTTTGAAAATATTTATTTTAGTCTTTTATTTTTTAAATTTGATTCGATTTGATATATTTTAAATAATAATTATTTTTATTCTTTGAGATATAATTTTAAATCATTTTTTGATTGATTTAAAATTTAAAACTCATACTGTTAGATTTAATTATATAAAAATTATCAAAAATAAATACAATTCAAATAAAAAGCTATTGTAAACATGATAAAAGTCATATAAAAATAAATCTAAAAAGTAATTAGAAAATACAATTTCACATTATTTTTTAGTTGTTAATGGGATAAATTTTTTACAAAATTTTCATAATAATCATAACCCTTTTAGATGAAAATGTTAGTTCAATTTTATAATTTTCATACAAGTAAATTTATTGTTATAACTTTCATATATTAAATTAATAAAAAATTAATTTAAAATTATTCTTTAAAATTGAGAATGATCATTATTTTAAAAAGACTAAATTAATTTAAATATAAAAATAAAAGATCATAATAAATATTTTAACAAATAAAAGGTTAAAATAAATTTAAAAATAAAATAAAAGACTAAAAATATAATTTAATTTTATAAATATTATTGATGTATAAGTGTGAATAAGAATGTTATATTAGATAGAATTAAATATGTTTCTAATATGTATATATTAGAAAAAGATTTAAGTTGAAATGTGCAGAGAGAGGGCATAAAGGTGGTGTTGACATTGGTAGAGGTTGGATGAATACATATGTGAGAGCTAGTTGCGGACATTAACGTCATAAAAATAAAGGAACAGCTGTGAAAAGAGAAGTGCGAGCAAATTAAACTTTGCGGTCAAATTAAGTCAGCTTTCCTTTTTTTCATTTGTTGCCCTCTTCATATATAGTGAATAGATATATAGGACCTCTCCAGCTTTTCTATTTTCTATTTTCTTAATTTTTAAAATATCCCCCTTTCGTTAAGGTTGCTGGGACTGTTCATGATTTTGGCTCCAACAAATCCTAAAGATAGTCGAAGATGATGTGTCATGGGGATGGGGGTATCTCTTTTAAATGTAACCAAAATGGTACCATAATTGTTAACGTTGTGTGACAAGGGTGTTGGAAGTTGGAACAAAGAATTCCATTTCCACAGTTTCTATCACTTTTTTTTCTTGTGTTGCATATTAATTCTGCAGGCTCCGTGTATGGCTAGCATCGATGTGGTTATCAATTCGTTTTGAATCGAAAAGCAAGAGTGTGACTGAGAATAGAGATGGAGCCATGGAGGGTCTCAAAAGATATGATCGTAGACATGCATGCATACTAATGGCTACATATTTTGAAGCGTAGATTGCATGGTTTGGTCCCACAGTACCTAAAATGAGAGCTATTGGAGAGATCTGATCCGCAAAACCTGATGTTGATACTTGGTGAGCGTCAGTATCACTCAACACACCTCCATGCCATGTGAACCATGAATTAGAGAGAGTTAAGTGTCTGTGAGCAGAGAATTTTTTTTTTTATTGGTGGGACAGAATCTTATTCTCTATTTTAATTAATGATGTAAGAGTAGATAATAAATCACGCATATTGGTAGTTACGAAGGAAAAAGTTAAAAATATATAAAAATATAATTCTAATTATATTAATTAAGAAAATATATTTTTACTATATATAGGGTTGGATATTGTTGTGCTTGTGATGACTTAGTTTTTTTTTTCATGACTTCGTTTCCTTCCAAAATAGTCGACGTTTTGGGAGAATATTGTTGACTTAAAATTAATTTTTGTTTCTACGTAAGAGAACAAACTCGTGCTATATTTCAACAATTAACAGGAAATAGAGAATAAAACCTGTTTCAAATTCTATTTGTGGCAACTAATTTTTTTAGTAATATTTTTTTCTTATATTTATTAAAATGTTACTATATACAAAATAAATAGATTATTTTACAATATTTTTTAACGTTTCTTTTTTAATATTATTTTTTTCAATTATTTTCAAAATCAAAATTTCATATCGAGTAAAAAATGTCACATAGATTATTTTGCAACATTTTATTTGAAAAATGTTACTATAATTACTTTTAAAATCAAAGTCCTAAATCGAGTAAAAAAAGTATATTTCTTATCTTTAATTGTTACCCATGATTAAAGTCTCACATCGAATAGATGAATAACTCATAAAGAGTATATATAATCATATAATTATATATACTTAAGATAAATAAATTTTGATATTTTATATATAATTATAATGGTGACTAATTAAGAATGTCTTCCCTAAAAAGAATGTCTTTAATCTCTCTTAAAGAACTCTCAGGAGTTTAAGAGACATAAAGATATAATAATTAGTTTTAATATCTAAATTAAAATTAATTATCATTTTATAAAGTTAACAAAATCTTAAAGCATCATTAAAATGTTACAAAAATACTACTTTGATAACATTTGAAAAAATTGTCTAATTATATAAAAATGTTATTGAAAGTTTTTAGCAACATGAGCTATATACAATATTTGATAATATGTTGCTAAAGCAAATGAATTAGTAACATTTATACACAATTAAGTAACATTTTTCAAATGTTGCTAAAAGCTATTTGTGTTGTAGTGACTATATTTTAAAAACAATAAAACTTGTTGTCACTTAGAATGGTTTCGTGCCAACCTTCTCCGAAGAGATCACTTATTAATCTCTTCTGCTCGATAGATTGGTTGTTCCAATAGGGAGGATATCTGCAAAAGAATTTTTAATGCTTAAGTTAATTTTTGATAATAAGAGTATCTCTTATATATTTGTAATGTACATAATTTTTAGAGATAAGATTATCTTTTCTGTGATGGTTGCTTTCCACTTAAATCTCTAGTCAATGTGGGACAAATTAATATTATTGGGTTTGCACCACCAATCAAAACCATAAATTTGATACATGATAGAAGAATGTAAAGAAATGTATATATAATCAAAACTGGCTTGGAAGGTGAGGGTTGCTTTCTACTTAAATCTCTAATCGATGTGGGACAAATTAATATTATTAGGTTTGCACCACCAATCAAAACCATAAATTTGATACATGATAGAAGAATGTAAAGAAATGTATATATAATCAAAACTGGCTTGGAAGGTGAGGGTTGCTTTCTACTTAAATCTCTAATCGATGTGGGACAAATTAATATTATTAGGTTTGCACCACCAATCAAAACCATAAATTTGATACATGATAGAAGAATGTAAATAAATGTATATATAATTAAAGATAGTGTGAATGAAAAAAGTCCATTCACACTATCTAGGATTTATAAGACTTGAGTTTTTTTCTCAGATATCATCTTAAAATAGTGAATTTAAGCCTAACTCAACTCTACAAAACTAGTTTGTAAAGTAAGAATTATTTTTCACTTATGTCTTATTCAATTACCTAATTTCTAATTAATGTAGGACTTGAATTTTTCTTAATATGTCGATGTCCTTTATTTTTGGTTGAGTTCGTCAACTCGGTTAGGTCGATAAAAACCCATCTTGGTTTATTTATCAAATTATACTTAATATTTTCGGTCTTTCTTGTTATAAAACTAATAAATTATTAGATGTTAAATTGATTTATGTGATGAATTTATAATTACAAAGCAGTGCAATTTCTTTTACGGTGGATGCAGATTATTTATCAATAATATAAAAAAAAACTGACAATACACAAAAAAAAAGTGTTTATCAATAAACCTTCAGTGTTTATTTTTATTGATAATATTAATTAAACACCACATTTTGATAAATTCTTACAAGTTATTTTAAAAAAATAAAATACCAACATTATACATTGGTTGGAGCATAATTAAGCTTGATTCAGTAAGATACTAGAGTTGAGTTTTTAAAATAGAAAAATAATAATTTAAAAGAGAGACTCTACGTTTGGTATAAAAAAGAAGAAAAAAGAAGAGAGGCTACTAAAATAAATAGCAGCAAAATTTTGTTACGGATATCAACCATTAGCAAAGTTAATAATTTACATCTATTATATATTATAAGAGAAAAAGTTAAATTTTCAATAAATCTCAAATTTTTTTTAGACTTTTAAATTTGGATTCCTAAATTAAAAAAAAAATGTAGTTAGATTCATAGTCTTGTAATAAGTATATGGATTTAGTTTATGACAGAAAATTGGCAAAATAAAAAAAGGTTTGTGATGTTTTAAAAATCTGACGAGGCTATGCAATAAGAAAAACAAAATAAAATATTTAACTAGAAAATTATTTATCTTGTTTAAGGATGTAGCTAGTTAAAAATTCTGAAATAATGCAAGAGTGGGTTTGCAATTATTATTGATTGATTGTTATGAGGATAATTAATAATTAATCTCTGTGGTGGTGAGATCAGAAACTTAACTCTACCAGAATCTTTGGGAGCGCCAGTCCCAGTCCATTCTAGTCTCTTCCACCACATCCTACAATTCCCCTCTCGAGAACCTTCGCATAATCACTCCTCACCGTTGGATCACTCCATCGTGACACGTGGCATACACACACTCCAAGATGCACCAACTTGCATGATCAAATGCAGCCACAAATCCGTGAAATCACTACACCTCCTCCTTTTCTTTATATATACACACCCACCCTCTCCACCTCTTCACCATCCAAACACACAACAACCTCTGCATCATTTTCTCACTCTTTTCAACCTCTCTTCAATCCTCACTGTACACTTTTCACTACTCTTAAATCCAGAACACCAACATGGCCCCTGAGCTTGTCCCCACCCTGGCGAAATCCGGTGCCGCCTTCACCAAACCCGCGACTCTGGCGAGGCGCGCCTACGTCACATTCCTCGCCGGAAACGGTGACTACGTGAAAGGGGTCGTTGGCCTCGCCAAAGGGCTGCGAAAGGTGAAAACGGCGTACCCCTTGGTGGTGGCCGTGCTCCCCGATGTGCCGCAGGAGCACCGTAACATCCTGGAGTCTCAGGGCTGCATCGTCCGTGAGATCGAACCCGTTTACCCACCCGAAAATCAGACCCAGTTCGCTATGGCCTATTACGTCATCAACTATTCCAAACTCCGTATATGGGAGGTACGTCTTCTTTTCTCTTCTTTTTTTAACTCTCTCCTATGTTTTTATTATTGTTACACGTGGACTCCACTTGGTCGGTTTCTTACACGTGGAGCCTCATGATGCATATGTTTTTTAAAATTTATTGTTTGACAGAAATACCCATTTTGCAGTTTGTGGAATATAGCAAGATGATATACTTGGACGGAGATATTCAGGTATACGAGAACATAGACCACTTATTTGATCTTCCTGATGGGAACTTTTACGCTGTGATGGACTGCTTCTGCGAGAAGACATGGAGTCACACCCCGCAGTACAAGGTGGGGTACTGCCAGCAGTGTCCGGAGAAGGTCCAGTGGCCCACTAAATTGGGCCCACCACCTTCTCTTTACTTCAACGCGGGCATGTTCGTGTTCGAGCCCAGCTTGGACACCTACCACGACCTCTTGAAGACGGTGCAAGTCACCACTCCCACATCGTTCGCGGAGCAGGACTTCTTGAACATGTACTTCAAGGACATTTACAAGCCCATTCCCTTGGCTTATAACCTTGTCCTCGCTATGCTGTGGCGCCACCCCGAGAATGTTAAACTTGACCAAGTCAAGGTCGTTCACTACTGCGCAGCGGTATGGGACTAATTCGTTAATTAATTGATACTTTAGTTAATATTATTGATCATTTAGTGAGAAGATGTGAATTGAATTAATGGTTAATGAATGTGTTTTAGGGGTCGAAGCCGTGGAGATATACGGGGAAGGAAGAGAATATGCAGAGGGAGGACATAAAGATGCTGGTGAAGAAATGGTGGGATATCTATAACGACTCTTCCCTTGATTACAAGGGGTTGAGTGGAAGTGAAGACATGGAGCCATTCGTGCAGGCTCTATCAGAGGTTGGTCATGTTCAATATGTGACAGCACCCTCAGCTGCTTAAGATGAGTTTGTGGACATTCATTGTTGTGATGAAAAATAAAAAGTTAGAGAAGGAGGAGAAGTAGGTGGGAAGTGCAAGGAAGACTTTGCGGTGAAAACAAGGGAGGTTTCTTTCTTTGTTTTTGTTGTAGATAGAGGGAACGGTCGTGGATTGCTTTGGAAAGGAGCTCTCCACCTTTTATATTTGTTTCTCTTTTTGAGAATTTCTTAGCGTCTGGTAATTAATTAAGGTTGGAGGGTCTCTTCATAAGAGTCTGGATCTGGTCTTTGGCTTCACGTATGTGTTAATATATGTATTTCTGTGTTCCTTGTTTTTTCTTTTCTTTTTGTTGGGACTTTGCCATTGTAATAATTCTAAGGCAATGCTTAATGATTAAGGGAATTGTTGAACGAAACTATATGTCTACTTTGATGGTAAAAGGATTCCTTGTCTGTTTCCTGTGAAACTACTATAGGATGTTTTCTATATGAATAGTCAATTTGGGAATGGTATTTTGCTCGATAAGATCCTCCATGTTGAGGAATTTTAGGTTTGAATTTGAATAGGTATTGTCTTTGCAAAAGTGAGATGAGTTGGGGAAATGACATCACTTATCATCTGTCCTCCATTATGAAGCAAGGGTTAATTGAAGGAGAAGGCAGATATAAAAGTTTATAGTGAGTAACAGAAAGTGTGGAAATCTCCGGTAACATCATGATATTCTTGAATAACTTTGTAATTAGGCACTGATCACAGATATTATTCATGTCTTCCTGGCAGTAGTTTTCATACCAAAAATATTTTGTGATCACGTGTTCCTCGTACTAGTAGTTTTCTTACCTAAAATATGTTAGGGTAATTAACAGGGTCGTTCGGTACGGTCGATGTATTAATATAAAAAAAACAGACGATCTTGAATTTCCAATTGGATGAGAAGCAAAAGAATATATATTTCCTTTTACCTTCTCTTTTTCAAATGTGTTTTTCTTTTTCTTCTTTCCATTCCAACTTACATATACCATTATTATTGCGAGAAAAAGAGGACATTTCTATTGTTCCTAGAATAGTAGTAGGGTAGGAATAATAATATCATCATGTGTTCATTTTGGAATCGTTGGTCAGTTTCCAAAGATGGATTGCTTGAGAAAGTCTTTTACAAGTTGTTATATAATCGACGTTTGGGGAAACTTTGATAGGTATATTGTTTTTTCTCTACTCCTTTCTCGATTTCACTTCCAAATCAGTTATTATATGGATAAAGTATTTATAGTTCAATTTCTACCCAAATAATTTATTTTTAAAGTATTGTTTTAGAAAAATTAAATGTATTTTTTGTTTCTGTATTTTTTTATTTCCTATGAATATTTTTTTTATTATTTCATTCTTAATATTTTATAATTTTTTAAAAATAGTCATATATAATAAATAAATATTTATTTATTATATTACGTAAATAAAATATTTATTACGTAAATAAATTGATTTTATTTTATTTTTAAAATAAAATACTTATTATATTTATTACATTACATAAATAAATTGATTTTAAATCTTTTTAAGATAAAATTTTAAAATATAATTCTACTTTATCATACTAAAAAATGTGTTGTTTTAAAAAAATTAAAATAACTTATCTATGTAACAATAATGAAATGTAATATAAAATATAATATATATTTTATTTTTTATGTATAATTTTTTTTAATAAAAATTAACAGTAAAGACTATTTTAAAAATATTATGAAATATTAGAAATAAAAAAATTATAAAGACTAAAATAAAAAAATATCAATTACATGAACAAATGTTATATTTAAATCTTTTAAGAGATATCCGATTCAACTCCATGGCAGACTATTTATTTTTAAAGTAATTACTAATATTTTAACTTGTATAATGCACAAATATATTTATTACATATATACATTATATTTAAGAACTTGTATAAATAAAATTTTTAATATATAAATTATATTTTGGATATATAATAAATAATTTATACTGTAAAAAAATATTTTTATTTATTAATAGTTTAATATATAGGGTTGATTTTAAATTTATTTTTATACTTTTATTTTATTATATCATTTAATTCATTACATCTTTTTCAAAAAGTATTGTATGTAATTATTTTTCAAACTTTAGCGAGTTTTCCGTAAAGGTGAAAATGAAAACGATAATTGACATTAAGCAGCATCTGTCTTTTATATTTATACTTGATTGCTAACTAATAAATTTTAAAATTTAAAAATTGAAAAAAATATTTTTAACTGAAATTTATAAGTCATTAAGTTAACTTATTGAAATTTTAAGTGTTTAGAATTAGTTTCTATTTTAACATATAAATATAAATTGATTTCAAAATATATTCATATAATTATTTATTTTATGATATATATTTTTTTAAAGTAATAATAAGCACTATATATTTATTAAGGGAGTCTTGGTTAAATAAGTGCGTGAAATGTTATAAATCATTTATCAATGGTTTTTAAATTTTTCTTTAATATCGAATTTGATTTATATATATTTCATAGACGATTATATAAAATTAAAAAAAAAAACTGTGATATTAAACATATAATAATAAGTCTTAAATTCTCTTTTGATCTTTATAGTTTTAGGAATGTGTATTTTTGGTCTTTCAATTTTTTTTTATTAAAAATTTGATATTTATAGTTTTTAAAATTAAGTAATGTTAGTTCACCTATTAACATGGCATCCAAAGTAACACAAAAACTGTTTAAGTGTACATGAATAATATTGTTAGTTAGACTTATAGAAAAATAATATTATTAAAATTAAAAAAATATTTTAATAAATTACAAATTTCAATTGAAATAAAAGGAAATATAACACATATGTAGTAATTTTTTTTAATTGAAGTCAACATGACTAAGTAATTGTTAGGTAGTTTCACTTGTGAATAAATTTTTTGTTTAATTTTTAAGATGTTAATAAATGGACATATTTCTTAATTTTAAAATTTAGAAAGACTAATTTACAGTAAAAATAAAAATAAAAATTAGGGACCGATATTGCACAATCACATAATTTTAAGGACCAAAATTTAGTTTCTCATGTTGAAGAAATAAAATTTAAGATTCATGAAAAAGCATATAAAACATGAAGGAAAGTAAGCGAGCTATGTCTTTTTCATTGTATAAACTTGACAATTTAATTGAAAGCGCACTACCTTTCTTATATTCTTTACCTAGTTTTGCATATAATTTCTAGTTATATAGTATAGGAATATAATTTTATGTACCCGTTAACTAATTAAAAACCATCTCAAGTATAACTTGTAAAATTATCATAACAGCTAGTCCCTCTAAAATAGTGTTTTACATAGAAAAAAAGGTAATAAATATACAAAAGAAAATAATAATTTTATAAAACTAATCTTAATTGAATTTATAAAAAGTAATAAATAGATGATTGAAAACCTTAATATTAAAGGCATAAATAGAAAAATATTATTAATGCTAACTTGAAAAGTTAAAATGACAAATATTGAGACGGAGGAAGTTATAAATTTATACACGTGATAATTTATAATTAAATAACTTTATAAAAGCATTTACTCTATTTATACATTTCAATTATTGAAGCAAGACTTGCTCGTATAAAGATCACACAAACTCGGTAGTACCTACGCTTATGTTTGCAAAAAAATTTAGCCTATGATTCCTTATCTCGATTTAGTCGTTGTGAATGTGTCATTACTATTTTACGATAGTCTACATTTCCATCTGAAAAGAAAAGGAATCCAATTCAAAATAAAAGCTGCAACGAGGCAACTGTGGCGAGTTATAACGAAGGGAAGTAAACAATAATCGATGTCTGAGATACACTGTTGTTAATTGTGTTTAACATATCATGTATAAATGCAAAAACTTTCAATTATAAAATTGACTTCACAATTCAATGGGTGAAACAATGCCTTCAATTTTGGTCATACACGAAAAAAAAAAAAAAACGCAAATTATTTTGATATTAGGTAGTAGACATCTGTTCTTTATCGAAGACAAATAATACATGCTAGAGCAGATAAGATTCTAAACAGGGTAAACGGTAACCACATCAAACATCGGAAGTCAGAATCGAAACTCAACTGAACTTCATGCAACCCACGACCGATAATCACTATGCCTGCAATTACAAATAAAAAAGGGAAGAAAACAATTAGTTAAGGTCTTGATATGAAATTGTATTTAAAATTAATTGCAGTGTCCCAGAAAACAATTATCCTGTATTAACCTTGTTTGCAATGTTGTTTGAGAGCCAGTCAAGTCCTTCATAAAGTCCTTCACCAGATGTGGCACATGTGCTCTGGATATACCTGCACGTGAAAAACATGAAGATGACAATGGGCATGGGAAGGAGCCCGGAGACAAGCAAATGCCGACAGCAATATAATTTATATTACCAGTGACGCTGACGAAGAGAATGAAGACCAAGCTTATCAGTTATTTCAGCAGCATTCATAGCATTTGGAAGATCTTGCTTGTTTGCAAAAACAAGAAGCACAGCATCTCTCAACTCATCCTGACAAAGTTATTGCCATACATACAAGAGGAAGTCACAAAATTAAGCTAGGAAACTATGCCCCTATAAAATAAACCAATTTCTCATATTCAATCACTAAGGTATCTATTTAATTACCTCATTTAACATCCTGTGCAGCTCGTCTCTAGCTTCCACAACACGATCTCGGTCATTGCTATCAACCACAAATATAAGTCCTTGGGTATTTTGGAAGTAATGTCTCCACAAAGGACGGATCTGGTAGGGAGAATATAACAAAGTTCACTACTGAATTGGGAGTATTTATTTTTAAATAATTCAGATTTCAGAGATAAAACATATTCTGACACAAAAAACATGCTAGAAATGTCTAATGACTGATAAAGTCTAGAACATTCAAAAGAGTAATTTGTTTGCCTTAACCCTAAACCTATGTCTTATATACACATGTTTGCGAATCAGAATCCCGAGTTTTCCAGAAGTAACTCCCAAAAATCTTGGAGTGGTTCACCTTGTATTTATGTAAATTACCCATATATCTGTCAAAATGGCCTAATGAGCCTTTATTCTATTGAGATCACCCAATCAATATGAGACCGGAGAACCTGATCAGATTTCAATCCAGAGGGTACAAAAATATATAGCAAAATGGAAAAGGTTAGACAATTTAAGCCATATATAGAAGTCAACCCATAATGGTAAATGGTTAGATGTTCAGCACCGTAGCCAGATCTTTCTACAGTATTGGACTTGGATCCAAGCAACAGACTCACATACATAAAAACAAAAAAAAAAAGAGTAGAAAATGCCAACTAATTTTAAGACTTATTTTTTTGTGCTTTCCGTGTAAAGACTAAATACTAAATCTCTCACAATTTCAACTAGGTGGATCAAAATCAAAAGTTCATGAAATTGATAAATGTACTCAGACCAAATACACCGAATCAAAATATACATTTTTAAATGACAAATCTATGCATGGTAGCATTATCAAATTATGATTCACTAGTGTTAGAAATTAGAATGAGATTTGTCTCTGAATCTGAAATAGTACCTTGTCCTGGCCACCAACATCCCAGACAGTGAAGCTGATGTTCTTGTACTCCACAGTTTCCACATTAAACCCTAGAAACACCAATGGTGGAACATTTACAATGGATTTAAATCAATTGACGGAAGGAAATTGGAAGATGATACGTACCAATGGTTGGAATGGTGGTGACGATCTCGCCGAGCTTGAGCTTGTAGAGAATGGTGGTCTTACCGGCGGCGTCGAGACCGACCATGAGTATACGCATCTCCTTCTTGGCAAATAAGCGACTGAAGAGCTTCGTGAAAGACAGACCCATTCTGAACAGAACACAAGGCGTCAAAAGAGCAGCGCTACATAAAAGTGATTAAACCCTAATAATCAACTTTCAAATGGTGATCCGAACACATAAGACGCGGATCGGGGATGGAGAAAGGAAAATGGAAGGGTGAGCATTTGAAAATTGAAAATAATAATAATAATGAAAAAGAAAAAGACTTGCCTTGATGAGAAAGATGAGATCTGCTTTGGTGTCTCTGTTTGCAGTTTGCAGTTTGCAGTTTGCAGTTTGCAGTTTGCAGTTTGCAGTCTGCAGAGAGCAGCGGTGAGGTAAGGGCAAGATTTGATGAGGATTGAGGGGTGTCGCGCTAACCGTTCCTTTTACGCATTCTAGTTTTTTAAATCACAGACAACTAGATGCGTTTTCAGAACTTCCTGTTCAAATTTTAGTGGTCTCAACTCTCAAATTATTTAAAGCCTCTCATTGCTTTTAAATTTAAAGTTAAATAAATAACATAAAATAAAATAAAATTTATCACACACTCCTGTTTTTTATTTATTTATTTATTTAAATTTTTATGACACATTCTTTTTATTTATTCAAATTTATCATAAATTTTTAGTTCAAATATTTTTAAATGTATAAAATTTTGTGTGTTAGATAATGTATTGTTATTGTCTCTCATGCTATAAATACTTTCTTCAAACTAGGTTCATTTAAATAGGAAAAGATGATGAGAAATTTTATAGTTTATTATAAATTATTTATACTTAAATATGTTTTTAATTCATTATATTTAAAATAAATTTTCTTTTTGTCAATTAAATTTAAAATTAATTTTTTTAAATTTTATAATTTAAAAATTAACTTATTTTAATCTCTAAAGACTACAAATAACACTATTTATAAGAGATAAATTAAATATTTGTGCAACACGTTTAATGTGATATTTTTATTAAAAAAACAATAATTTTAACATCACAAATTCAATTATGAAAAGGTTTTGTAAAACAAATTCACTAACAAAATTCTAATAAATAGATGAAAACAATTTTTTTTACTTCAAATTATATGAACTAAAAATAAAACTTAAATGATTAAAATTAGGCATGGCAATTTAACCCGTATCTGTGGATACTTGTCCTGATTTAGATGGAAAAAATTCGTGTTTATCGGGTTCGGGTTTTTCTCGATTAAAATCGGGGGCGGCGGTGAGGAAGAGGATGTTAATACCCACCCCGCCCCCGCCCTCACCCCGCTTAATGATATAATTAAAAAATTATTTTTATATATATATAAACCAAAAAAATCAGGAAAAATTGGATGTAGGCCAAGTGGATGACTAAACCAGTATAAATTTCTGTGTTCTTTATCTTCTTACCCTTATCTTTAAATAATCTTGTTAATTTCTTGTTTAAAGATTTTTGAGATATGAAATTTCAATTAGTACAAACTCTGATCATTATTCTTGTAATTAAAATTGATGAAAAAGAAGGTAATATTAAAATCAACCTTGGTTACAAGTGATTGTTTTGCAACATTAACTTTGATATTCTGATACGTTGGTAATAAACCTTGTAATCTACTATTATTTGTTAATTCAAATTGAGTAAATGTTGAATTTTAGGTATCTTGGTAGGTCTTTATCAAGAATTGTCGAAAAGTGAGTCATCTTAGGATAGAATCTATTCAACCTCCCTTCTAGATTCTAGTGAACTATGACCAACAATTTGTACTTTAGGGTATGGAAAGATTGGGTGACAAAATAGAAGGTTTTATTTTGGTGTACAATACTTGAAATACACATTTGGTGCACAAAGTGATAGAAGAATATATATATAACATTAGTGTATAACTTCTTTATTTTTGGTGTACAATACTTGAAATACACATTTAGTGCACAAAGTGATAGAATATATATAGCATTGGTTCATAACTTCTTTATTTTGGTTGTATACGCTACTAATGTCGAGATAACAGAAATGGAGTTCTTATGGAATGAAGTTAGGAGTCTCTAGATGGGATGAATATGGTTGATAATTGATGATCAAGGATTTTAGCATGGATTTACTAAATCGAAATTACAAATAATATGCTAGTGTTCATGGATTAAAGGATATGGTTACTAGGTCTAAATGGTTTGATTGTGGTTAAAATAGGGAGCTTCAAGTCACAATATTCTACACATTTTTAAAATTTTGTTGGGTGAATGCAATAAATCATTGTGGGAAGGGAAAGTGTATTTGCTTGGATCTATCTATAGTTGTAAACCATGGTTGGATTGTAATTTATAGTTATTCAAATATAAATCACCTCTAACCAATGATAATAAAACGAGTTATTTATATAATTTATTCTACTGTAAATGAGTTTATGGTAACCCTTGTACCTATTTTAATAAAGTTCTTTTGCTAATAAAAAAATAAAAATAAAAACTCTACAATAATTATGGTTGTGAAATGTTGAAATCAGATTGTCAATTTTTTTTCATTAATTAGATGGCAATAATGCATTGCTAGATGCTAATATTTGTTTATAATATTTAATATTATATTCAACATATATATGACATTTAAATATTATTGTCAATAAAATAAGAACCTAAGGAGTCACACATTGAGTAAAAACTTGGAGAAAGTAATTGATTAATTAAATAAGATTTAATTAATTGTCAAAAGATTTAATTAAATATAATTTAATTAAATTAGACAAGAAATTGGACTTATATTGTACATACTCAATAAGGATGCAAATTAGGTTAAACAGTAATTTATAAAAGGATGTGTTAACCTAACTACTTTGTTAATAACGTGAAAATTAAGGTTGTGTCGTCTCACTCCTATTCTTTATATGGCTAGTACCAAACTCCATTCTAGTCACTACTAGAAAATTGCAAAATAGTGACCGAAATTAGCGACCGAAATTTATCAGTCGCTATTTAGCGACCGATTATGAAAAATCAAAATAGCGACCGATTTAGAGACCAAAATAAGTCGTCGCTAGAAAATCGGTCGCTATTTCGGTCGCTAAATAAGAAATTTTAATTTTTTAGTGACGGAATTAAATTCGGTCGCTAAATTATAAATTTTGAATTTTTTTAGCGACGGAACTAAATTCGGTCTCTATTTCGGTCGCTAAATTATAAATTTTGAACTTTTTTAGCGACAGAATTTAATTCGGTCGCTAAATAATAGTTAAAATTAGCGACGAAATTGAATTCGGTCGCTAAATAGTAGTTAAATTTAGCGACGGAATTTAATTCGGTCGCTAAATTATAAATTTTTGATTTTTTTAGCGACAGAATTAAATTCGGTCTCTATTTCGGTCGCTAAATTATAAATTTTGAACTTTTTTAGCGACAGAATTTAATTCGGTCGCTAAATAATAGTTAAAATTAGCGACGAAATTGAATTCGGTCGCTAAATAGTAGTTAAATTTAGCGACGTGACATGGTACACTTGGAATCACTTTTTCATTTTTCAATGCATGAAGCAACTCAAATGAGTTGCAATTATATTTTACTCTTCATTTTTTTAATGCTTAATTTTATATGTTAAATTTTTATTTATATAATGTTTTTTTTGTAGGAAAAGGAGCTTGGTCGACCTGTACACCATGATGAACTCTTTCAGCAAACTCATCTACGAAAAGATATTGGTCAATTTGTTGATGATAGATCTAGGCGAACACATGTGAGTCTATTATGTTACTTATTTTATTTGTCTTTAATATAATTAATGTTTACATTATTTTAACGTACTATTTATGATGATAATACGAAGAGTTTGAAGCTAGATTTTCTCAAGCTATATCTGAGGTTGGGTCCACTGTTGGCACCTCAGAATGCACCTCTTTAGACCCTATTGAGGAGGATAGACTTAGGAGTCAATGTTGGAATGCAGTTATCGGTGGAAAATACAAGGGACGTCGTTATGGTACAAGAGATCTTTATGAGAATGAGGATAGCAACTTTGTGGGGACATCTTTAAGTCAGTCTCAAAATACACAGGAGATTTCATAGTTGACACAACGAGTTTTAGCTAATGAGGAGGAGATGCGTCAGATGCGCTCCCAGTATCAGACTAAGATTTAATCCTTGACCTCCCAATATCAGACTCAGTTCAACACATTTCTCAATGTTGTACTCTCATTCCTACCACCTACTATGCAAACTACTTTTCAACAGCAGCAACAACAACATCAACCTCAACAACCAAACAGACACCAACAAGACCAACAACAAGACAATCGGCAACCAACAGATGATCAACAAACTAATGACCAACATCAACAAAATTCACTTGGATATTCTGATTATTAGACATTATGTTATGATTCTACTGATCGTACTATATGTTATTTTTAAATTTGAACTCCTAAACTTTATTTATAAACAAAAAAGAAAAAAAAATAGGAGCCGGGTGCGCAAACTCGAACCCCGCCAGAGGCGGGAATGAGGACCCAAATTTTATCCCAGGAGGGTATCGGGATCGGGGACAGGGCAGTTTAAATTTGCGAGAGCGGGGACGGGGAACGTAAAACCCACTCCCGCTCCACCCCGTTACCATGCCTAATTAAAATGTACTTTTGGTCTTTTATAATTATCGATCCATAATTTTGATTCTCCAATTTTTAAAATTACTCAATTTTAATCCCCTCTCACAATTAAATCATGATTTGACATTAATGTTGAGATGAATAACTTTGAAAGTGATGACTACTTCAATGAACTAATGATATGACATTACAATACTTATACATAAAATTATTTTTTATAATTGAAGTAAAAAGTGATGACTACTTACATGAACTAATGATATCACATTACAATACTTATACATAAAATTATTTTTTATAATTGAAGTAAAAATATAAGTAAATTATACATGATGAAACTATTAGAATCAACATAATAGTAAAAAATTAAAATAATATGTACATAATCTTATGTTCGAACTCGGATGATAAAAAAATATGACAATAAAGGTAAAATATTATTAATAAAATCTAAAGGCAATATCATAGATATTAATATCGTTCTTCAATCAAAATCTACATTTTGTTGATTTTCGTCACTAATATCATAATAATACTAACATAACAACAACTAAGATTATCCTCAACAACAACTGAGATTATTCTCAAAAAGAAAAAAAATCTGATTCAATATAAATTTTAATTAGAGAAATTACACAAATACTTATGGCATTTGCCCTATATCTATATCATGTCATTAATTTTATTGCAACTCATACATCTTGCTGTCATCTGACATGGCAACAAAATGATTACATAAGTACACCAGATTGGTTTTTCCACGATCAAATATTACCAAGTTCATATTGACTATGAAGTAACTCAGCATTAGTTAACTGTAAAAAAAAAAAAAAAAATTCAGCATTTGTTAATTATTTTTTCACAATTTTCTTCACCACATAACTACACTACACTTACAATACTGTCTGTCATACATCTTCCAACAGCAAAGTACAAAATATTAAAAGCATAATACAGCATCGTAATGCATTCCAAATTCCACAGGTGACTAGGGAAAAGGAGAATGGGTGAGAGAACCATATGACAAATGCGGATGCAGATGATCTTTCGCTCCAACCAGTCATACAGAAGATAACATGTCACTTCGCCCCCCACTCATCCTCTCTGCCTGCTCCCCACGTTCACCTGAAAAAAATCAAATTCAAAACTTCTGTAGAAATTCTGACTGCAGAAAGTTATTCTTTTGTTATTTTGGCAATTCCTGGAGGAAAATGATTACCTGTCCGAATTCTTATGACATCTGAGACGGGGATCACTGCACAATCAAAGTTATATTAGAAATTTGATTCCAAATTGAGGCCATTACATATACTTATTGAATTTAGAAATTAGAGTTTAATTCATATTTTCTCAAAGTTTTCTGTTAAGAACTTGGGCAAGAGTAGACGTGTGCATCAATACTCAGGAGCATATATTTTGAACAAGATAATAATCCTTGAATCAAAAGATCACTCTTACGACTTACAAGTTCCTACGCAATCTAATAAATTAAAAGATTCAGTGAAAAGGGAGGAGTGGTACACGTGAAAGCAAAAAATATAATAAAGACAACGTCCTGTGTAAGTGTAACTCAAAAGGTCCATTTTCAATATTGTTGACTCCTAGACTGTAATACATCCGGTTGTTTTAAAACCGTGACAACTGAGAAGGATAGTTACAATATACAGAAAAAGAAAGATTTTCAGCTTGAAAAAGGAATTCATAAATTTTTCTCTCAGACTGCATAATCCATTTTAGTTTCTTTTTTTTTTTTTTCCCCTTTCAATTGATAAACCTTTTTATTCATGCCTAGTTGCTAGAAGAAATAACATATCATTATTGAAAATGAAATAGCTATTGAACACTAAATCTTATTTTCGCAAACCTTGTTGCCGTCATTGTATTAAAAAAAAAAACTATCCAGTTTCTGCATTTCAACACAAGGTTAACCTGTTTGCTCAGGACACCAAAGAAGGGTAATATTTGTACGAGAGAAAGAGCCTAACCGACTAAACTGGCGCATTAATATCCCTAGATTAGCACATAACATAATGATCAAAACACATACAAAATAAAGCTGCCAATAGACCAGTCACCAATGTATATATAATTCACATCAGATAAAGTAGGTTTAGGTCTTACAGAAAATTTTTCCATCACCAATCTCGCCAGTCCTTGCCTCCTCGATAATTTTGTCAATTACTTCCTCAACCTATTGACGTGTGGCAACATCAGGGAATGAACAATTTTGTTGGTCCTTAAGTATGGCTATGTTTCATTCTAGGGATGTCCAAAAATTATTGATTTGAAAAAAAATAAAATTGAAAGTGCTTATTGTAACTTCTCCAGCCATGTTCTTTGTGGTTACAAAAACAGTATTTTGTTTTTCTTTATTCTTTTTAAATCCAGAAAACATTAAGACAATGACCAGTCCTGTTACTGCATTAAGAAATTAAGAGAGACAAGTCGCAGAACAAAGCAGACCCAGTGCAAATGGAATTATCATGTTCATTAAAAATAAGTTTGTGCTTTTCTCTCTCCAATAGTTCTGGTCATGGAACTTGCGAAGATTCAAATCCCCATAGATAGACAACAGATTTAGAACCCATGAAATCTTTGGACCATCAGATACAATGGTTATGGACTTTATGACATTTATGAATAGTATTAAGCATTTTAAAATAAGTATAATTTGTTGATTTTTTGCAGAGAAAACGGTTATTTAGTGATTAAGGGCATACTGAAAGTGACAGTAACTGACAAATGTCTACTGTCTACATACCTGGTCCTTTCTCACTACTATTTCCATTTTAACTTTGGCAACAAAATTGCCTTCAGAAAATTCAGAGCCTGCGAAGAATACACTATTATTAGTAAAAGACAATGATGTATGTGAGCACATAACCTATATGCATAAAAGCGTGTATAGAACTCGAAGCCAATGGAAAAGAAAATGCATTTCTTGAACTACAGAATAAGTTACAAACTTGAAACATTGCTAAAGTTGGTTGGCCATGCAGGTATGGATGAAAACTGATTACCAAGTAACGATTAGTTTTGGAATGAGAAAAATGGAATGAAGACATGTAGGAAAACAGAAAAAACTCTTCTAAAGTGAGTTTGTTTGGGAAGTAATTAGTATTTACCCTCAAATTTTGGTGGGTTAATATCACAAAGCATTTTAAATTAAATTAAGGTGGATACACCATTACGTTACAGAGAAGCTCAACTTATAAGAGTCTTCTTCACGGGAAGACATATATTCAGTTTTTAACAACTTGTAGTCCGCTATGACTTACTTACCTCCCTGCCTCTCCTTTGAACCACCTTGAGCACCAAAGCCTTTGACATCAGATACAGTGACACCACGAATTCCCATTTTCAACAAAGCCTTCGAATCAAGAAAAATAAAATTTAGCACCAGCATACGCCAATAGAAATAAATTGGTAAATCTAATAGCACAAGGCCCACCTAGACAAATAGTCAACGACAACGAGCTATATAGGCCAAACCAATAATTATTCAAGAGAGAATGGAGTTGCTTTTTTCAAACACTGGCAATTAGGACAGAAGCAAGTTACCAATTCAACTAACCAAATGTGCGTTTTATTTGCCATTCAGTTAAGTTGAACTTGAATGATATGAGAGTAGGACTAGGATGCACGTCGGATGTGTTTTTGGAAAGTGGGAAATAGTGAAAGCAAACACACCCTAAATGACACAACTTTCGTTCCAAGGAAGATCATAATTAAAAGCCTCAACTTCTTTTGGCTAGTGAAGTGACTAGAACTAACAAGCACTCTTGAACTTGCACGAATTACCAAATTGCTAGAAATCTAGTGCTTAGCTCCAATTGAAGAAAGCACAGGTATCAAAGTGCAGGGCTATTGCGATAGTGCATTCAATTACAATACAGTGAAAACAACAGGATTCACCTTCCATTTTACATAAATAATGAATCAACCGTCGGTTTGGTCCATAAAGTATTATTATTTTCGTTTCCTAAGAAACCCTCAAAATTATAAAATTATATAAGTACAATCCTAAGTAACGAATATCCTATCAATTTAGTTAGTCTCTAATTTGATACATTTTAACAATTTTTAGAAACTAATTTGAAGAATTTTTTAATACTTACCGAACAACTTAATATCATTTTTAGTACTCAGGGGTTATTTATATAATTCTTTTAAGATTATTTAAAAGAGAGGATATTGTTGTAAGGAAAAATTTTGATGGTTTATTCAGTTAGTAATAAAAAGATTTAATTACTATTTTAAATAATTTGATGGTTTATTCAATATGAAATAAAATGATTTAATTACTATTTTAAATCCTATATATTCATGACTTTTAATCTATATAATTAAAAATAATTTATTTTAGTCTCTATTTATTTTTTTAGTCCTATAAAATAAAATAGACTAGAACGACTGAAAGAGAAAAAAAATAGTGTATATAAAACTAAATAAAGTATTTTTTATTTTTATAAAATTGTACTCACCGAAAGGTTAATTAAACCAAATGAAAAATATGGATCAAAAGATATCATACCGAAGAAACCTGAGCGACTCGCCATGGCCTGTTCCAGAGGAAATTCAACACAGCATATATAAAATGAGTGAATATATAAACAGGTAGCTACAAAAGCTCATTTTTGAGGCATAAAAAAAGAAAAGGGTTATAACTTGTAACCTGAGAATGGCTTCTACTTTGTAAAACTGGGATTCTGGAACATACCCTGGGAAAAGAGAACAAGTAGCAAATAACAAATTAAGTAATCGTATTGGTGGAGAAAAACATAGAGCATGCAGCTATTTGTACCCGGAACATTCTGGGCTCTGATCTCGGGAAGAATCGTAGCATTTTTTCTGCGTCTTAGACCCACATTGCGCTGAGGATAATCTCCAATGTCCCTGCGGATTAAGCTGGAGGAACACGCAATAGGCATTTCAGATTCTTTGAGCTGAAAACCCACAACACCGAGCACGTGCGTTCTGGCGATCGCAGCCATTACTTCTCCTCGGAATCACTCAGAGCTAAAGCTGCTTTTCAAGTTTCAACCCAAACAACAAATATCGGTTATTAATTTATTTACTTTCTCCGCTCTGCCGATAAAGTAGGCGAAGAGAAAGCCCAACCCAATGTAAAACGGGCCCGGCCCGGCCCAATTGGATAAGTAAGCGCAATGAAACGGCGTTGACGGTTTGCGATTTGGAAAAGGAAGAAAAATTGATTGTGTTCGTTGAAGATGAGTGATTTCGTGTACCGAATCAGTACGGCGAAGGAGTGGGAAGCGTTGCAGAGCGATGGATCCATTTTCGGTGGTGAACTTGACAAGTCTTCTGGTTTCATTCATCTCAGCAAGCTCGACCAGGTTAATTTCACGCTTTTCTAAATTTAACGGTTCGGTTCTTTGCTTAATTCTGATGATAAATTAGGTATAGGAATTGTTATGCGAGTTTATAGTTCCAATTGATTTTAGTGGTTTATGGGATTTGCATGCTTCGTCGAGATTGCGAAGCTCTCTAATCGAAATTTTCACGCTGTTGCTGAAAGACGAGTTATTATTTTTCAGGTTCGGTCAACACTCGAGAACTTTTTCTTGAACAGCAAGGTGGAACTCTACCTCCTTCAAATTGATGCTAAAAAGGTTTGCACCTAATTCGCTACTTTATTCAATGTCCTAGGGTTTTGATTGTCGTTTTGGTGAAATTAAGGTTCGTTAATAACTGCCAAACAAGCCCTTGGAGCTTCCGAGGCACAAATTATATACTTGTTAAGGTTTGAATGAGGTAGGACGAGAATGTTTAGACTCTCTCACTTGTTGAGAGAGAAAATTAGAACAGCTTCTTATTATGAGGCCACTTTATTTTATTGTCTAGCTAATAGAAATATTTCGTGTTTCTGTATAATATCCTCTCAGCTTGGCGATGGTTTGGTGTATGAAAATGTGGATGGTGTAAATAGCTTCCCTCATTTCTATGGGCCATCTCGAAGCTTTGTCCCTCTCCCTCTTGATGCAGTAGCAAAAGCAGAGAAGCTCACTCTCTCAAATGGTCGATTCAATTGTAGCTTGCTTGATTAAGTATTCTTTGTATTCACTATCCAGTGTGTAGCGTGAATGCTTGTTGCCTATAATCTATCTGAGTATCTCTGTAATGGATAAACCAAACCTTAATCCTTTCTTAATAAAGGAGATGGATGCTGTAATGTTACTGTTTGAATCCTACGTTGCTTTACATTCGGTGTTTATTATTTTTTTAGGGATAAAATATGATTCTGCTCCCTCAAAATACAAAATATTTTTGAAATTTTAGTTTTAATCCGGATAAGAGTTTAATCCAATTTTAGTCACTACATTTTTACAAGACATGTGAATTTACTATTTAAAACTAAAGATATATTAAATTTTTATACGGACTAAAACTATCTTTTCGAATTATTTTGAAAGATAAAAACATATTTTTACCCTATTTTTCACATACTTCTATCAATCATATTCTACCTTTTCTTTTTTTATTTTTTACTCTAATTATACCTCCTCTCTCTCCCACCATTTTCATCAGGTTTGCCAACGCAAAGTTGCCTACCTAAATTGATCACTTGCAAAATTCCATTGCTTGCAAAATGAAGATTAGACCCATGAATCACACATTGTTAACAGTTAGAATGGCAGAGCGTGGGTACATGGAAATCATAGTGCAATGGCTGGGTCGCTGAGGATGCATTCCCTAAGTTGGTAGTTATGCAATTAACATCACCACAATTGTTAAGGTTTTCCATCATATGACATCCTTGGGCCGGGATTTTCAGATAATCCCTAATTGACTCCTGTACAAGTGGGTGGCCTGCAGACCTTGTGTAGGTGTGTCTCTTTTCAAGAAATTCATGGAAATGAAAATCACCTGGGTGCAATTTATATATTTGGCCATTATAGCAAGCTTTGCTTTTTAAATTGTTCCAGGTTACTTTTTCCAAGCAAAGCCAAATATCTCCTTGGTTTGCTTAGTAGAATTTTTGAGACATTTTTCCCCTCAAGGAGCTTTTGGAGATAAAATGCTTACTTTAATGTCAGGAAGGATGCTGATATGATGTGCAAGTATTCCATCATCTTCCCTAAGGTTCGGTTGATAGTAAATGAGATCAATTTAAATATTTAATTATCAAACTAAGCTGTAAAAATTGAATTATAAGGAACTATAGGAAAATATTAACGAGGGACCAAAATACTGAAAGTAGGGTTTTGTCATTAGGATATCACTATATCAGTTCGCTTTTGTGAAAAGCAATTACAGGCCGAATGTTACTCGTCGTAAAGAAGGTTTTTACTCTTGCAACGCATAATTAAAGTACACACAAGTTGAATGAGATATAAATAAGAGGTTGTTAGATGAATAAGATGTGATAAGTCTTTGGCATTAAATCATTCAAAATATAATGATGATAATTTCTTTGATGAATCTGTTGATACAACGCTAGTAGAACATATATCTATATGGAGGTGGAAAAGAAAAATCTATATACACGACACCCATCCCAAAGAACTTGCATTACATTCTAGGGTGATATGGTTCCGGTTTGAACGATCTCTTAATAAAGGAATTCACAGTATCTGTTAGAACTTAGAACAGAATTGCATATGGTGAGCATCCATACATTCCATCAATGATCAAGTATTCAAGTACCCCCGCATTGCCAACTACATATGTATATAATTTAGATGTTGGCCAAGCATAAGTACTAAAAACTGCATGTGCGACTGATACATTTGAAACCGTGGATTAATTAGTTAAGAGACATTATTTATACAATAAATTTTACAAATTTTATAATTAATTTTTCTTTCTGTCTCTCTTCACCGTAACTCATATCACCCATTTTATCTCACCCTTTTCTCTCTTTGTTAAAAAAAAACACTAAACTAAACTAAAAAAAATAAACAAAATTGATGAAACAATATAATTTTTCATTACTTTGATTCACTTTGGTCTGGTATAACCGTTTTTTATTATCACTGACTGATTTTGAAGATTCATTGATGGCTTGTTGTGGGCATGGGATTGAGTTGCCCTAAAATAATTACAACGTCAATATAACACGCGACCAGTACTCAGATTACTATAATATGGGAACTGACAGTGTAGCATGTCATTGTTCTGAGCATAATGATTGCTCCGCAAAATTTTGTGACAAGTTGCCAGGGAAGGATTATCGTTAATTACTTTGATTCAACAATCGCCACCAATAAATAAAATTTTCAATTTTACAGCACTCTTCGTGTTGAAAAAAATGGCAAACTTATCTCTGATTCACGCGCAAGATCACATGCACGAGCTAAAAATAAGCAGAAAAATTCAAACACTCTTATCCACCATTAATAAAGTAATTTAATGTTATTGAAAATAAAAATATTTTTGACTCCTTAATCACACGCGCACTACAACAGTGCCTGCAAGAGTCATTCACATGAGCACAATATTATTTCTTGTTTATCTCTTTAAAAGTGTAAAGCAATTATATGTTATTGGTTTTAAGTAATGTAGAACTTCATTCTTTTAAAATACATTACACATATATAAACACTTTATTATGGAATTTTTAGAGTTTTTTTAAATTGTAGGAAAAATATACCAAAACACATAAAATTATTATTTGTTATTATTATATATGGTATTTTTTGTATTACATTTCCGTTTTCAATTATTCCTTGTTGTATGCGTTGCTTTTTTCCTCCTTTCGACACGTGTAACCTCACGTTAGCAACTATGTGGGCATAATCTAGTAATATGATTGGATAGGGTCAATCTATTGGTCTAGAAACACCTATAAAATGAAAAACATTGTAGGGTATGGGCTTGAGTACTCGAATGAAATCAATATCTTTACTTGTGAGGTTGAGGATGGAAGTACAAGAAAAAGAGATATGTAAAATCAATGTTGGGAAGAAGTTGAAAAAATTAGGTCAATGGGAAGTTCTACTTTGATAAGTTGGTGGTCTTTTGTCCTTTGGTTGGAAATGGAGGTGAATCCAGAGGAAGGAAGACCAATTGATGTTGATGATTCAAATGGAAACACTACTTGTTATAGCTCTCTCTTATTGGCATTACCTTTGTCCAAGGAAGGAATATTGGTTGGCTTTTCCTAATTTCGCCAACTTCATCATGTAATAAGTGCTCCCTTCCCTTTCGTTTACACTTTTACGTGCAATTTAAGCCACACAGGGCGTTGCTAAAGCGTTCAATTCCTAATGATTAATTACCACTAAACTGGTTTTGTCACATGTTAAGAGGAAACCGATCCATTCAACTAGGATTTTGTTTCAAAAATTTATAGCCAATCTAATCGCTGATCATAACACGTGGAAAGGTAAAAGAAATCTACACATATATTCGAATATGCTTTTCTTCAAAACTACTCATTAGTCTTACTTGGAAGTTCTTTTGGGAACTGGGAATGGAAGTACCTCAAAGAAAATTTGGGTGGATTTCTTCTCCCTTCTAGGATCTCTAGCATGTTACTAGCTACACCTAATCTGTGATTTTACTATTATTATTTTTTAAATAAGAAAAAAGGGACCATGAAAACTAATTATGAACAAAAATATTGCATTCTCCCAGTCATTCAGATTAAGAGCATAATATAGAGGCAATGTCGGGAGCTCAGGTTTTAACTTTTGAGAACAAAAGTCATTGGACGGTTAAATTATATTCTGAATATTAAGGTAGTGAAAGAAATTGGTGAAGGTTGTAATCACAGATTAGGCCATATATAAAGAATCAAATAAGCAAGCGATCGCTTCATATAAGCCAAACATAAAAAGTAAAATATGTGATTACTAAGTAATCTTTCAGCTGCAATTAGTCACGAGCTCTAACAATTTATTTGTTTTTATTAATTTGATTTTTCTGGACGCGTGCTTTTTACATTGTTCAGTTACCAATAGCTTTCAAAGAGCAACTTGCGAAACTTATTTTACTTAAGCTGCCAATCGATATCTTTGTCGCGTTAGGAATGGATAGCCATGTATTCATCTCTTTGGCGTTCGGTATGGACTGTTGATTGAGAATGAGAAATTAATTGGGTATCGGAGCTTTTGGTACCATTTTTCTGAAACTGGTTTCAGCAATTTTGTCCAACTTTTATTAAAAAAATAAAAATAAAATTGTCCAACTGAATGAAGCAGATAGGGTTACTTCAGAAGATGCATGTCAACTAGTACGATATTATTTTAAGTGATATCGAATTGAGTATTCAACATTCAGTTACATTAAATATATATTTAAAAATAGAGTATTTTCGTTAATAATAATTTCATCTATTCAGTAAAAAAATAAAATTGTTTCAAATAAAAATATTTGGTCTCTATATATAAAATAGAGAAAGATTATAGATGGTATGTATACAGTTGAAAACATTTTTTTTTTCAGGGTGTTTCTTTTTGTAGAATGTCAAAAACATTAATTCTTTCTAATATTTTATTTATTATTGATTAAAATTTATTAAAAATTAAAAATTTTGTGATCTCGTATTTTATTAAACAAAAATTAAAATCCCTAAAATTTCATAATTAGAGTTCATCCCCAAAATTTATTCTTTTTAACCAATAGTATAAAATATTATTAGGAGAATGTTAAAGGAGAGTATTATTAATATTTTTCTTTCTTGTTTTATCGAAAATACAGCAAGTTACTTCCGAAGTCATTACATCTGGTTATAGTATTTATGGATTCAAGGTAAAAATAAGAGATAAGTACCTTTAATGTACGATATTCTAAAATATATATAAAAAAATAAAAAATAAATAACACCTTATTTTATTTAAAAATATATATTTTATTAATATTACATATGAATAATTTTTGTTGTACTAATTGAAATTTTGAACCTCATTTGAAAAAGATAATAATAAGAATTATAAACAAAAGAAGAAAAAAAAGCAAGTTACAAAAAGGAATAAAAATTAAATCGCATTTAAACCTTTGAAATTCAAAATAGGGTTTTTGCACCATGCATCGGTGTTTTAGTTGTGATGTAGGATGTTACTGAATATTAATGAGTTGTTACTGAATATTGTCAGCACACCAAGTCTTTAAGAGATATTAATGAGTTGTTAATCTTTTTGTTATATTTTACTTTTAATACTAATATTTAGAGAATTTCTTTTCATTTTTTTTTAATTATGCTTAACGGTAACATTCGTCTAATATATGTTCTTGAAGTTATCATAATAAATTACTGTCCTCTGTTTATAA